GCAACTCTCCTCTGCATTCCTCACAGTTCATCCTCTCCTGATTTTTAATTCCTTTACTGAAAGCTCAACCCAAATTTCATAAAGCATTTGCTAAATGGGAGATAAGTTAGAACACCTGTGCCTGTGGAGAGGACTTTTTCTTTCTTTCTGTTGGACAGAAGTTGGTTAAGAACACACAAACCCTGGTGAAAAGATCCACCTCTCTAAGCTGTCTGACAGCACTGCAAAGGGAAAACAAATCAGTACGAACAGAATCATTCATTTCCTCGAATCCCTTCCTTTTAACCAAACTTGATGCGTTAGTACCTCTACCGGGATGCCAGTGCTGACTTCCTTTTGTGTCCCATGTACTTGTATGTATTTTAATTGAATCTGGGACTAAGGATGCTCGGCAACGCTTAATCTTCCCAACAACAAAGCAAGGGCACTAAGCCACCGTGAAAAATAGTAATAAAAAGAAATAATAAAAAAAGGTAAAAGACACCCACTGAAGCATTCCTTGGGGCACCGGGGCTCTCTTTTCCTCCTGTAAATAATCCAGTGGGATTCAAAAAGCGGGCAGGAGAGGCTGGGTTACTTCCTTTAATAGCAGAAGTTAGAGCTGGGAGCGCCACGTTTAACCCATGGCCAGCCGGAGCAGGTTCCCTTCCCAGGGGTGCACCCCCAGCCCTTGCACGCACACACACGCATTCTCACACGGTCCGAGATTCCGGAGAGGGCAGCCCCCGGCAGGGCGGAGGGGATGGGGAGCCCGCAGCGAGCGGCCCCAGCAAAGCGCGGCAGGGCCGAGGGGACACGGCTGCTGCCCCCGCTGTCCCGGGCGGAGCGCTCCCCCAGCTCCAGCCACAGCCCCGGCTCCGGAGCCTGCGAACGGGGAGGACAAGGCGAGCCCTCCCTCCTAAAAACACTGCGAGAAACTAGACGGACAGACAGATAGACAGAAATACCAACAGGCAGGTCCTCCGGTAGCACCCGTTTCTCCCCAGCCCAAGCAGCTGCAGTCAGTCCCCAGGCTCAGACAAGAGCAACTGCAGCTGAAGAGCAGCGACAGACACGCACACCC